AAGCCCTACCTGACCCATATAATTGGTCCCAATCAGGCTAGATTCCTATCTAACATGAGAGCTTATAAAAATGCTATTATTGTCCAGGAATACATCATAAACTTTGGAAAAATGAGAGGCAAAATACCTCACATGATCCTAAAGATTGACCTGAAAAAGGCCTTTGATGGGATAGAGTGGTCATTTATCAGGGACACTCTCCATGCTTTCAACTTTCCCATTGACATTATCAATCTCATCATGTCCTGTGTAAGCTACTGCTCCATCTCAATTCTAGTAAATGGGGACCAAACTCTCTCGTTCAAATCATCAAGAGGCATCAGACAAGGTGACCCTTTCCCCTTATTTGTTCATCATGTGTATGGAAAAACTTTCTAGGCTAATTGAAGAAGCTGTTCATAATAAAGAGTGATACCCAATCAGCATCAGCAGGTTTGGACCAAAGATCTCCCACCTGTTCTTTGCTGATGACATGATTTATTTGCCAGAGCTGACCAAAAAAATTGCTCCACAATCATCAACACTTTAAATTCCTTTAATCGGGCTTCAGGCCAAAAAATTAATCTCACAAAGTCAAGAGTATTCTTCTTTGCCAATTGGCAACCACCGGATGGAGACTAACTCTAATAGCTTATCCATCCAAGCCGCAACTACCTTTGGCAAGTAGCTGAGATTCCCCATCTTCCATAAGATGCATGTTAACAGTGATTTCCAATTCATCATTGACAACATGCACTTCAAAATTACTGGTTGGAAATCAAGATTTCTAAACATGACTAGGAGAACTACCCCAGCAAAAGCCTCTCTGAATAGCATATCAAGCCATGTCATGCAATTCATCAAGCTCTCCTCAAAAATCATAAAAGAAATTTAGAGAAATTGCATCTAGGGTACTACACCCAATTAGAAGAAAATGCACCTACTAGGTTGGGACACTGTTACCAAGCCTAAAAATCAGGGAGGGTTGGGAATACAAAGGGCTGAGTTCAAAAACAAAGATATTCATTCGGGCCTTGCATGGAGACTCTTTCATAACACCTCTTCCCTATGGGCAAAGACCCTGATTTCCAAGCACTGTAACTGGAGCCACCCCACGAAAAAGCCAAATCCTCTAGGCAATGTATTCTAAAATGTTGGGAAACATGCAGGCAAGCCATTAGATAGGTGGTGCACAAAGGAGACAGAGTCAGCTTCATAAATAATCCTGGATCCCTAATCACCCACCAATCAGGACCATGATTGAGGGTCCTCTCACCCAAGCTGACCTTTCAGCCACAGTTGCTACCATCTATAACAATGGGGCTTGGGACACCTTCTCCATATCCTTGAGCATCCCTCATAGCACCGGAGACCTTATCTCAACTACTTTCATTCCACCCAATCCTATAAAGGAGGACAAGATGATCTGGGGCAACACCAGCAATGGCCTATTCAGCACCAAATCAGCCTATACCGTCCTTGCTAACATGACTCCCAAGAAGGTGAAAGAGGATAACATAGCTACATGTGGATCTGGAATTTGAAGGTCCCTAACAAGATCAAAACCTTCATATGGCTCCTATACCATGGAAGGCTTCCCATAGGGGCCTATCTCCATAAAATTGGGGTTCATTGTAACCCAATGTTTTGTTTCTGCGCTACTTCTCTTGAGACCTCTGCCCGCATTTTCTTCGAATGCCCTAATAATCATTCTGGCAGCAATTAATCTCAAAAAGCATCACAACAGCCCAAACCCAGCCCCCCCCCCCCATTCACTAGCAGGTCCTGATCTAGTATATGGTCAGCCTTTAAAAGAAAGCAATTTAACAACATTCTTAGTTGGGAAAACCTCTTTCCCTTTAGCTTCTGGCAGTTATGGATTACTAGAAATAATAATCTCTTCAACAGCAAAAAGGATATTGTCCCTACTTCTGTTGTTTTGGCTAAGGAACTGAGTATATCACTATCTCAGTTAACCAAACACCCACAAAAGAGAAGATCATCTGGGTCAAATGGGTTCCCCCGTTAATAGGCCATTACAAGCTTAACACCGATTGGGCAACTTTTAGGAATCCTGGGAAGGGGGTGTGGGAGGAGTCTTTAGAAACTCCAGCGGCAACTAGGTGCTGGGTTTCATGGGAAGTCTGCCCCACACCACAAACACACAAGCTGAACTTCTTGCAGTGCTGCAAGGATTATAAATTGCTGAGCAAAGAGGATTCATACCGCTTGAGATCAATACAGATTCGACTGAGATAATAAGAATGCTTAATTCTAGTAACCATGTCTTTGACTCAATCATTTTTGAATGCAGGTCAATCATCCTAAGATTAGGAGACGTGGTGGTGAAGTACAACTACATGGAGACAGATAAAGTAGTTGATTTGATGGCAAAGAAGGGTGCAAACGAAGATTTTTTGGTAGAACAAGATATGTGACAGTTCCTCCGGTGTTTGCAAATTAAGCTTTTTAGGCAGACATCTTAGGAACTTTTTTTCCTAGAAATATTTTGGATTGTAGTATTAATACATTTGATCACAGCTCAAGGGTTAACTCATACCCCCCCCCCCCC